ATTTATGTGGTACATGAACCTTTAGTTCTCTTCTTGAGTGCTGCTCAGCATCCACAGTAAAAGGCTAATGAATAACCTCCATGCTGTTTCTTCTGCTGGGAGTGGTAGTAGCCATGATCTCCTGCCAGGACCAACTCTGCACTTGGACTTTATGATGTGTTTAAAAAAATAAAAGTTAACTGCTTCTGGGGGAGTCACTACAGATATCTGTTCCACCAAATCACTTATTTAGGCACAGCTCCTCTCAGCATTGAAGGTGGGTCTGAAGCCAGCAGAGTCTAGGACTGCTTGTGCTGGATAAGTGATGACACAGCCTAGGTAAAAGTGCCAGTGACTCTTCCTGCCTTTCTCTGACATAGCTAGTATAGCATGGAGTAGCTTCAGCATAAAAACAAATGAGACATCATAATATGAGCAAATGAGAGCCTGGTGACTAAGACACTGGATGGGAATATTGTCTTCAAATATTTGCTGGAGGCCATACTGAAATTCAAGCCTTTATCTCCCAAAGCTCAATAAAGTGTGCCTGCCATCAGTGTACTCGCTCACCCTTCAGCACATTACAGCGCCTGTCTTACTCTCCCCCTGGAGTGCTTCTCCATTACATTGTATAGTGCCAGACAGAGAGACTTGGACTAACTGACTCCACAGCACAACAGTCCTACCACTTAGTATTGCTCCAGCTTGCGGTGAAGCTCTGTGGTTCAGGATGACCATCTAAAATATGCAGGATAGTAAATGACTCCAGCAAAAATATCGAGAAAACCTCACTGCACTGGGAAAAGTTGCTAAGTTAGATCTCCTCTGCCAAAAGGGTAAGACAAAGGTAGAAATAAACCTCACTCTTGCACCCTTCAAGGGAATGGCGTTAGCTGCTTAGTCGCAACAGTCCCTTCCTCGGCCTCACGGTGAAGTTAATACAAGAGGAAGAGCCCCCGTAGTACTCCTGGAGGGACTTGTTCAACTAGAAAAACCCCTCAGCTTTTCTCCTCTATCATCTGCATCACTTTCCCTGCGTATTTCTATCATGTGCTCTTTGCTTTTTGAATATAAATTCAGGAAGGGCAGGAATGGAGATTCATTCTCTCTCTCAAAAAGAAAAGTTTAACATCTACGTGTTGCTATGACCTGGCTGGCAAAGGTTAGTCTTGGTGGACTGATGCAGGGGACATCCTGGCACAGCCTGAGCAGCACCCATTTAAATACATAGCCTGAATCCTCCAACATTGCAAAAAAATCCAGTACATCTTTGCTGTACATTTTTGGACACGCATTCAACAGTATCTTTTATACAAGGATACAAAAGTAATTGGAAGGGCTGAGGAGAAAACATCTCAGCAAGCAATGCTCTTAATCAGACAGCACATTCTGAAAATGCAACTCATTATCACAGGCAAATCTAGTTTATGTCATGCTATGGGTGACTTGATCGCCTGTAATCTGGGCTAAAAAAATTAAATAAGATTGTTTAAATGCAGCTTCAGGGAGTGCTACATATTTTATCTCAGTTTCATCTGGTTTCCCATAATATCAAAGCTGTGTTTAGTGGATAGAGATTTACGACCAGAAAATGATATGTATAGCTGAAGAATGTGAAGGGATGATGTGCCTTGTAGAATTAGTTATCATTGCTGGGGAAGTAGAGCTGGTTTACAGCTTGCTTTTTCCCCTCTCCATCTGGGACTGATTTGTGTCTTTGTGTTGTATATAGGAAATGTTCTCTGCAATTCTCTAAACATAAAGACTGTGTTTCAGGCACCGTGGTGTAGATTTTGAAAACCTTGACTCATCCATAGACAATTGTTAGCATGTACATTTTTACAAGTATGTTTTCTTTATCCTGTATTTTTTAAAATATGTACATATTTATACATAGATTGGCTCAGCTACTGCTAACAATGGGACAATTATGAACGCATTTCCTCCCCTGTTAGCCAAGGCTATGTACACGCTATATTATTTTGTTTTATTTTTGTGTGTTAACACTGAATGCTACGCAGCATTAGAAATTACTTTGCTGGGAGCGGAGTTATTCCAATGGACGTCTAGTGACTAGGAGACAGACACAAGGCTATGTAGGCATTTTTGTTTCAAGCTCCCTGCGATTGATAGCTAGGATATCAAATGGATGGTGGTTTTGGAAGAAAGATCAAGGCAATTGATGGCATCAGGCATTTGCAAGAGGGTTTTTCATATAGCTGGCTGGCAGCTGGTCTTTTGGGGTTTTGAATGGACTTGCCAGTTGTCTGAGCTGCATGTAACAAAACTATTTTTTGATGTGCTGCAGTCATTTGCCTTAGGTAGGTGAATGTTTTGGCTTATTTTTTCATTTCAAAAGTGTCATCTTGATTTAGGATGGGGCTCTAGAGTGGGACTAAAGGCTGAGTAACGTCACTTTCCTTGGCAATTTTTAATGTCAAAAACAACAAATTGTCTTTTGTTACTTTTACCATTCTTAAAGACAGAGCTGAGAGTTGGCAATTAGATGCATATCTTAAAATATCTTTTACATGTCACTCAGCCTAAAAGCCAAAAGCAAAACAGATGCTAGATATGGTATGTGAGAGCATTCATTAGCACCATTCAGGATCAGGGAACTCCTTTTTTAAAAGCCATTTGAGGAACCAAAAGAAAACTGCAAGTAGGCTTCTTGCTGACAAGTTGCAGGTGTATACCACATGCCCATATTGGAAAAAAAGATGCAGTTATGAAGGTCTTGATGACAGACAAGGGTCTAAAATGCCTTCATCTCCAGGTTTTAGCTAGTTCATCTGTTTTTTATTTGCATTTCCTCCAGCTAGCAGTGTTAGTATTTTCCAAACTCAGTATAACAATGCACAGGTCTATATAAAATTGCTTTTCTGCATTGTAAGATCTTTAGTTTAGTAAGGACTCATTTAAGTCAGGGAAGCCTTACTTTTATGGTAACTATATCATAAATTGTAAGTCAATATTAATGATTTCTTGCTGGAAAAATGGGGGAAAGGATTGATGAGATTGAGGGGAGAGCACTTTAGTTCCGCTTTGCTAGAATACGTAGAATCCACTTATGCCTTAAGAGTACCAAACAGGTGAGTGCTTGTATTTGTCTCTTATTGCTACTCCTAGCTAAAAGATCTGTCCATCATTAATGTTTTTCCTCTTGAGGATGAACTCAAGACGAAATGTTTATTCTTAAAGGAGACAGACTTACACAGGTCTTAACAGTCAGTTTACTCCATGCAGCTGCACTCTGGAATCATTCTTCAAAGACACATATTCAGAGAGCAGAAGTAATGGGACAGCAGCACTTGGGGAATATCCAGCCAACACTTCTGATATTGTAAACTAAATTTTGACAAAGAAAACAACTAATGAAATCACATGTGAAATGGCATGGTTCCCCTTCCCACTAATGGCTCTGGAGAAACTTGCTTGGTTTTATTATCAGACCTCTTGTTTCTTATCATAGAATCATAGAATCGTTTAGGTTGGAAAAGACCTTTAAGATCATCCAGTCCAACCATTAACCCACACTACCAAGTCTACTCTAAGCCAATCAAGGGTAGACTAGACTAAACCATGTCCCGAAGTGCCTTCTGCGATTCTCAACAGAATGGCACAGAGAAACAAGTAGTTCTCCATCTAAAAGAACAGTTTTCAGAGCAAATTCTCAACAGCCACCAAGGTTTTCTTTTCTGAGAACAATATAATCAAGCCTTGATTTAAAATATTATTAGAAAAGTAATCAGTCTACATTGAAAATTAGTCAGTTGAGCTTCTTGTTTGTGGTGAATAATTAATTGCAAGAGTCATTTTGAAAACAGTAAAAGCAATACTTTGATTTATTTAAAATGCTGGAGAAAATTAGTTCAGTAAGTGTAAACATCATTTTCCAGAAAGTGCCCAAAATTTATTCTCATCTTTTTATCTAAACAAATTCCTCAAGTATAATTTTGAGGAATGAAAAAAAATCTATGATTAATTTAATAGGCAGTAAAATTAGAGGCAGACAGAGAGCATAGTTGTAGCTGTGTGGGAGTCAGCAGAAAGGATCCTGGAATGTGGCAATGTGTGGTGTTATGTCTCCTTAAAGCATCATGTCTTTTCCTCTCATAGGAATAAACTTTTCGTTCTCTCTTTATGGGAGAATACAGTGCTTTCACAACTTTTTTTTAGAAGTCAGTTTTCCTGTAAGATAATGCTGGGTTTGATGAATATAGGAGACCTGTACACGTGTTTCTCTACTTGCAGGGAATTATATGTGCAAGACAGTTTGTGCTCTATAATATATTCTATGCTGCATACCATAGGGTGTTGTTTAGCAGGGGGCAAGTTTAAGGGGTATGCTAAGCCCGTAAGTGAAGTAAAGGTTATCAAACTGAAATGCTGACCAGTGATGTTTGTCCACTTCCGAGGAGTCCAACTGGTGTGGGCCAGTGGGGAGTGGTGCAATTGCAAAGAAGCCGGTACCAATGTGGTGTAGACGTTCACTGTGAGAATAGTGAACTTATTATCCATCAGTGTGTTTGACAACTATCAAAGGAAAATGACTCCTTGGAGTTTAAATTAAAATGTTACCTATTGCAGGGTGTGTTTCGGGATTTTTACTGACTGAGAGGAGTTTTATGGTTCTCTTTATTCTTCACTGTGGAGTTTTAAACTCTTGTCTATGAATCAGAGGCCTGAACCCACAAAAATATGAGTTCTCTTGTGCCCACATAAGTTTGAGGCAAGAAAAGATGAAACCATCAGGGAGCTGGTTGCATCTCCCTGATTCTTTAAGCAGACACATCTTCACCAGCAGCGTGAGTTTAAACATTGCTACATGGCTCCAGTGAAGTATCCCTACCTGCATCTCCTGGCCCCAGTAAACGATATTTCAACTGTCAAGTTTGGGGGGTTTTGGCAGTGATTGTTTGGGGTTCTTTTTTTGTTTTTTTTTGTTTTGTTTTTTCTTAAAGGGGCTGCCTATATGCCTTGTACAAAGCAGTGCTTCACTGTAAACCTTTCTTTTACCCACCAGGCCTATCCTTGTACCAATGATAAGGAATGTGAAGTTGGGCGATACTGTCACAGTCCTCATCAAGCAACGTCTGCATGCATGATGTGCCGGAGGAAGAAGAAGCGTTGCCACAGAGATGGCATGTGCTGCCCTGGGAACCGCTGCAACAATGGTATGCCAGTCATTTCTTGGTTTTCCTCCATAAAATCAGCATTTTGATAGCATCAATTACTCTGAGCGTTCCCAGCAACAGTATTTTTTTCTGGGTGACTGTGCTTCCTTTTCTAAACCAAGGAAACTTAATTTTCTAGTTCGTTCCACTCCATTTTTCTTTAATAGTGTTTCTATGTTTAAGGCTTGTGCACTACCAGACTTTTTCCCATTTTGGCATGGGGAAACCCAAAAATGATGCTGCTGCTGACTGAAATCACAGCACTACATTCAATGTGGTTTGATTCACTGGAAGACTGGAGAGAACCCATATTGTTAAGGAAGCAAAAGAGACTTAACGAATCCTTGATCAACTCTCCCTGGGGGGTTATAACTGTAGTGTTTGCATTCCCATACTCTCTTCTGGAGACTGGAGAGAGATATCTACAAGGCAGTCTCCAGGTGCTCAGACCATAAAGGCGGAGTGACAGCAAGACTGACTGACAGCGAGTGTAGTAGAGTTGTGGTGAAGTTAGGTGCCAGGGATCAGGGACAGAGGTGTGATTAGAGCTGAGCGTCACTGAGGCCAAGCTCCAGCACTGTCATGGTCCTGGTCCTCATCTGTGTATGTCTCTCGGCTGTTTTTCCTCTTGTTCGAATCTTTGACTGACTTTTTTCCTCACAGGTATTTGCATACCAGTAACTGAAAGCATCCTTACACCTCACATCCCTGCTCTAGAAGGGCCACGCAACAAGAAGAACGGTCATTATGCTAGCAAGGATTTAGGATGGCAAAACCTAGGGAGGCCACGCTCCAAGCTGTCACACGTAAAAGGTAAGATCACATTTGCACTATGCTGCTTTGTTCCTTCATGTTATGAATCATGTTATTACTGTTAAGGTACAGCAGTGCAAACCAGAAATAGGCAGGAATTCCACAGAGAGTGACTGTCTATCATGAGAATTCACAGCATGACTCAAAAAGTGATGTAACATCAACCAACAATTCCTGTGATTGAAATAACATCTGCTTTCTTCTTTGTATCAGAGGTGGACTGACAATCCATTTTTCAGTTGTGCAAGATTGCACACATCCTCCTCTTGTAACAGTCATGTAGTTAAGCACTTGTAATTCTGCTTACAATCCTGTAGCTGAATTTCTCCTTATGAAGTCTTATGGCAGGTCTCATTAATTACCTCCTTGAGCCTTCCTAATTCATATTTTCCCTTGTGTTTACATCCTTCAAATAGCTGCAGATGGAAATATCATCTGTCCTTTTTCTGAGCTTCATTTGCATGAGTCTGCACTGAATCTGTACTTTCACATTTTCCCATGAGGTAAAATAACTTGGTTGCTCTTTTTAGGACATGAAGGTGATCCCTGCCTACGGTCATCAGACTGTATTGAGGGACACTGCTGTGCTCGCCATTTCTGGACCAAAATTTGCAAGCCTGTGTTGCATCAGGGGGAGGTGTGCACCAAACAGCGCAAGAAAGGGTCCCATGGACTGGAGATTTTCCAACGATGTGACTGTGCCAAGGGGCTGTCTTGCAAAGTATGGAAAGATGCGACCTCCTCTTCTAAATCAAGACTTCACGTGTGCCAGAAAATCTGAATGAGGATTGGGAAGATAGTATTAAGTGACTGTGGCTTTATGTATTTAATGCATTATGGCATGGTGGGAAATGAGGACTGCAAATGAAAGCGGAATGGCTAAACTAACAGTTAGGGTAGGAGTAGAAGTCACACCAAATGCATTTCTTTTTGAGCTGGTGGTAAGTGCAAGTGCAGCTGGAGTTCTCCTACTGTGCAGCTCTTCTGTAAATAACCTACAGTTTGTGGGAAATGCTAGTATGCAAACAAGTACAGTGGAAATTAATGTCACTTACCTTGCTGTGTTGTCCCGTGATGTTTCAGGGGTTCAGTGTTAGGGCTACAGTGGGTTTCCAGCATGGTAATGACTGCTAAATAAATTGTATACATTGTACTCCTATAGGAAGCAGTGCATGCCAGGAAGACTTACCTGTCGACATATTATTGGTCACATTGCAGGTGTGAGAGATGGAAATAAAGTTACTGTGAATGTCCACACGCCCTTGTCATTCAGGGCTGACACTTCAGCAAAGAAAGCACTCCTGCAGGACAAGAGTGCTATATTTTGCAGGCGCTCATGAAAGAGGTGAAAACTTGCCATCTCACAATTCCAAGAGAGCAGCAGTTAGTCTAAGAGGAGGCATTTAAACAGGGTTTTGTTTGTTACATAGGTAAATTGAAATGCTTTATGTAGTTCAGTGTTATAGTATGGCTCTTAATTGCTTGTATTTGCCTCAGTTTACTGCTAGTATACATTGGGTTGAACAGATGAAGCAAATATGTGCATGCTGAATCCAGAATTATATACAGGCAGTTGTTCATTAGTCCTAAATATACTCTCTTTGTCTAAGCATACTTGCATTATAGACATTTCCAAAAGAAATAAGAGTGTTGAAGTGCCTAACACACAGAGCTATGAAGTTGTGTCACTGTTGCTATTATAACAGATGTAGACACTTATTGAGGTGGTTAGAGCATACTGCTACAAACTCAATTTTTTTAATATTTTTTTAGTAGCAACAGGCTACTGATGGCACTCTGCAGAAGTATAATGGATTTGTTTCTTAGAGGCAGCAAAGAAAAAGGAGTTGGCTCTTGAAAGCACCTCCTCTCCTGCAGAAAAGGATGTAAGAAGATGGTACGTCCACAAGTGACTTGTTGAACATCATGTGATGTCACAGCATACTGCCTCCAGCATGTATTCATCCTGAACTTGATGTCCTCTCAGTCTGGACTGTTCTGCCAGGAATGATGGAAGTCCATGGACTGTGGAAACAGCTGACAACTCTACATTGTTTGTGTACTGGTTAAAAAAAGGACAGTCTCTATCCTTTGACTTGTCTCCCAGGGCTTTTCAAACCTTTTTCTTTTTACTTATTTGCAAGTATTCCTTTGTATAGACATTGGTAAAGAGACTGATATTTCTTTAAAGAAGTTTTATTCTATAATTGACCTACTGCTAAGTTGTAATTACCCCTTTATAATTACCCATTTTCATGTTTTGTAATACAAGGGACTTTTCTGTTTAATCAGTTCTGAACAATGCGGGTACACCAGTATGTAGTTTAACTCTGAAGACCATGTCACCCATATCTAAGACACCGTTTTCCACTGACTTCTCCACCAGTGGTTGTTTTAAAGCTATAGCTTAGCTACACCACTTGACTCGAACTTCCTAATTAAAGACCTCAGCTATGTTGCCTTTATCTTTCATAAGTCTAAATAAGAAGAGTATTTCATATGCCTCTTTCCCTAC